AGCTGCTATAGCGTTATGTTCACTCACAGGATGAATGACTGGGCGATAAACTTGTCACTCAGGGACAAAAACAAAATGAATTAGCTGTCAAAACCAAGAAAAATGACAGATTGGATAAAGAGTATCTGTCAAACGGGATGCCAACCCTGTGGTGACAATGTTGAAGACACTAGAGCTCTCTGGGGTGGAGTACTGTTGCACACTAGAGCTCTCTGGGGTGGAGTACTGTTGCACACTAGAGCTCTCTGGGGTGGAGTACTGTTGCACACTAGAGCTCTCTGGGGTGGAGTACTGTTGCACACTAGAGCTCTCTGGGGTGGAGTACTGTTGCACACTAGAGCTCTCTGGGTGGAGTACTGTTGCACACTAGAGCTCTCTGGGGTGGAGTACTGTTGCACACTAGAGCTCTCTGGGGTGGAGTACTGTTGCACACTAGAGCTCTCTGGGGTGGAACACTGTTGCACACTAGAGCTCTCTGGGGTGGAACACTGTTGCACACTAGAGCTCTCTGGGGTGGAACACTGTTGCACACTAGAGCTCTCTGGGGTGGAGTACTGTTGCACACTAGAGCTCTCTGGGGTGGAGTACTGTTGCACACTAGAGCTCTCTGGGGTGGAGTACTGTTGCACACTAGAGCTCTCTGGGGTGGAACACTGTTGCACACTAGAGCTCTCTGGGGTGGAACACTGTTGCACACTAGAGCTCTCTGGGGTGGAACACTGTTGCACACTAGAGCTCTCTGGGGTGGAACACTGTTGCACACTAGAGCTCTCTGGGGTGGAACACTGTTGCACACTAGAGCTCTCTGGGGTGGAACACTGTTGCACACTAGAGCTCTCTGGGGTGGAACACTGTTGCACACTAGAGCTCTCTGGGGTGGAACACTGTTGCACACTAGAGCTCTCTGGGGTGGAACACTGTTGCACACTAGAGCTCTCTGGGGTGGAACACTGTTGCACACTAGAGCTCTCTGGGGTGGAACACTGTTGCACACTAGAGCTCTCTGGGGTGGAACACTGTTGCACACTAGAGCTCTCTGGGGTGGAACACTGTTGCACACTAGAGCTCTCTGGGGTGGAACACTGTTGCACACTAGAGCTCTCTGGGGTGGAACACTGTTGCACACTAGAGCTCTCTGGGGTGGAACACTGTTGCACACTAGAGCTCTCTGGGGTGGAACACTGTTGCACACTAGAGCTCTCTGGGGTGGAACACTGTTGCACACTAGAGCTCTCTGGGGTGGAACACTGTTGCACACTAGAGCTCTCTGGGGTGGAACACTGTTGCACACTAGAGCTCTCTGGGGTGGAACACTGTTGCACACTAGAGCTCTCTGGGGTGGAACACTGTTGCACACTAGAGCTCTCTGGGGTGGAACACTGTTGCACACTAGAGCTCTCTGGGGTGGAACACTGTTGCACACTAGAGCTCTCTGGGGTGGAACACTGTTGCACACTAGAGCTCTCTGGGGTGGAACACTGTTGCACACTAGAGCTCTCTGGGGTGGAACACTGTTGCACACTAGAGCTCTCTGGGGTGGAACACTGTTGCACACTAGAGCTCTCTGGGGTGGAACACTGTTGCACACTAGAGCTCTCTGGGGTGGAACACTGTTGCACACTAGAGCTCTCTGGGGTGGAACACTGTTGCACACTAGAGCTCTCTGGGGTGGAACACTGTTGCACACTAGAGCTCTCTGGAACACTGTTGCACACTAGAGCTCTCTGGGGTGGAACACTGTTGCACACTAGAGCTCTCTGGGGTGGAACACTGTTGCACACTAGAGCTCTCTGGGGTGGAACACTGTTGCACACTAGAGCTCTCTGGGGTGGAACACTGTTGCACACTAGAGCTCTCTGGGGTGGAACACTGTTGCACACTAGAGCTCTCTGGGGTGGAACACTGTTGCACACTAGAGCTCTCTGGGGTGGAACACTGTTGCACACTAGAGCTCTCTGGGGTGGAACACTGTTGCACACTAGAGCTCTCTGGGGTGGAACACTGTTGCACACTAGAGCTCTCTGGGGTGGAACACTGTTGCACACTAGAGCTCTCTGGGGTGGAACACTGTTGCACACTAGAGCTCTCTGGGGTGGAACACTGTTGCACACTAGAGCTCTCTGGGGTGGAACACTGTTGCACACTAGAGCTCTCTGGGGTGGAACACTGTTGCACACTAGAGCTCTCTGGGGTGGAACACTGTTGCACACTAGAGCTCTCTGGGGTGGAACACTGTTGCACACTAGAGCTCTCTGGGGTGGAACACTGTTGCACACTAGAGCTCTCTGGGGTGGAACACTGTTGCACACTAGAGCTCTCTGGGGTGGAACACTGTTGCACACTAGAGCTCTCTGGGGTGGAACACTGTTGCACACTAGAGCTCTCTGGGGTGGAACACTGTTGCACACTAGAGCTCTCTGGGGTGGAACACTGTTGCACACTAGAGCTCTCTGGGGTGGAACACTGTTGCACACTAGAGCTCTCTGGGGTGGAACACTGTTGCACACTAGAGCTCTCTGGGGTGGAACACTGTTGCACACTAGAGCTCTCTGGGGTGGAACACTGTTGCACACTAGAGCTCTCTGGGGTGGAACACTGTTGCACACTAGAGCTCTCTGGGGTGGAACACTGTTGCACACTAGAGCTCTCTGGGGTGGAACACTGTTGCACACTAGAGCTCTCTGGGGTGGAACACTGTTGCACACTAGAGCTCTCTGGGGTGGAACACTGTTGCACACTAGAGCTCTCTGGGGTGGAACACTGTTGCACACTAGAGCTCTCTGGGGTGGAACACTGTTGCACACTAGAGCTCTCTGGGGTGGAACACTGTTGCACACTAGAGCTCTCTGGGGTGGAACACTGTTGCACACTAGAGCTCTCTGGGGTGGAACACTGTTGCACACTAGAGCTCTCTGGGGTGGAACACTGTTGCACACTAGAGCTCTCTGGGGTGGAACACTGTTGCACACTAGAGCTCTCTGGGGTGGAACACTGTTGCACACTAGAGCTCTCTGGGGTGGAACACTGTTGCACACTAGAGCTCTCTGGGGTGGAACACTGTTGCACACTAACAGCCCCATTCAAGGCTAGAGAACTTACTCTATAAAAAAATTTCCCCTTTAAATTTAAGGGGAATAACCGTAATAAATGCACTTCAAAGTGTACATGATCCACCAGGCTGTGGCGGCCAGAGCAGAGACCGGGCCGCATGGATATTGATCCCGGGAACCCCATCAAGGCAAGGTAACCCCCGTGCTGTAATGTGTGTTTTCTGTAACATGAGAAAAGCCTGTATCCTGGTGTGTACATGTGACTGTCGTAGTGGTGTGTGTGTGTGTGTGAGTTGTTTAACATTCAGCTACTGGAAACACAAAGTTTCAAGTAGCACGGGCTATGGTGAGCCCGTAGTGGACTTACCTGGCACAGGAGCGGGGCAAGTAGCACGGGCTATGGTGAGCCCCCGTAACTTACCTGGCACAGGAGCGGGGCAAGTAGCACGGGCTATGGTGAGCCCGTAGTGGACTTACCTGGCACAGGAGCGGGGCAAGTAGCTCGGGCTATGGTGAGCCCCGTAACTTACCTGGCACAGGAGCGGGGCAAGTAGCACGGGCTATGGTGAGCCCCGTAACTTACCTGGCACAGGAGCGGGGCAAGTAGCACGGGCTATGGTGAGCCCCGTAACTTACCTGGCACAGGAGCGGGGCAAGTAGCACGGGCTATGGTGAGCCCCGTAACTTACCTGGCACAGGAGCGGGGCAAGTAGCACGGGCTATGGTGAGCCCCGTAACTTACCTGGCACAGGAGCGGGGCAAGTAGCACGGGCTATGGTGAGCCCCGTAACTTACCTGGCACAGGAGCGGGGCAAGTAGCACGGGCTATGGTGAGCCCCGTAACTTACCCGGCACAGGAGCGGTGCTGTAACTGGGTGTGTGTGAGTTAGTGAGGACCAACAGCTGGTGTCTTCACTGTCAGGCAACTACACAAGAGGCAACTACACAAGAACCAACTACACAAGAGGCAACTACACAAGAGGCAACTACACAAGAGGCAACTACACAAGAGGCAACTACACAAGAGCCAACTACACTAGAGGCAACTACACAAGAGGCAACTACACAAGAGCCAACTACACAAGAGCCAACTACACTAGAGGCAACTACACTAGAGGCAACTACACTAGAGGCAACTACACAAGAGGCAACTACACAAGAGCCAACTACACACGAGGCAACTACACTAGAGGCAACTACACAAGAGGCAACTACACAAGAGCCAACTACACTAGAGGCAACTACACAAGAGGCAACTACACAAGAGGCAACTACACAAGAGGCAACTACACTAGAGGCAACTACACAAGAGGCAACTACACAAGAGGCAACTACACAAGAGGCAACTACACAAGAGGCAACTACACTAGAGGCAACTACACAAGAGGCAACTACACAAGAGGCAACTACACAAGAGGCAACTACACTAGAGGCAAATACACAAGAGGCAACTACACAAGAGGCAACTACACAAGAGGCAACTACACTAGAGGCAACTACACAAGAGGCAACTACACAAGAAGCAACTACACAAGAGGCAACTACACTAGAGGCAACTACACAAGAGGCAACTACACAAGAGGCAACTACACAAGAGGCAACTACACAAGAGGCAACTACACAAGAGCCAACTACACTAGAGGCAACTACACAAGAGGCAACTACACAAGAGCCAACTACACAAGAGCCAACTACACTAGAGGCAACTACACTAGAGGCAACTACACTAGAGGCAACTACACAAGAGGCAACTACACAAGAGCCAACTACACTAGAGGCAACTACACTAGAGGCAACTACACTAGAGGCAACTACACAAGAGGCAACTGCACAAGAGCCAACTACACTAGAGGCAACTACACAAGAGGCAACTACACAAGAGGCAACTACACAAGAGGCAACTACACTAGAGGCAACTACACAAGAGGCAACTACACAAGAGGCAACTACACAAGAGGCAACTACACAAGAGACAACTACACAAGAGACAACTACACAAGAGACAACTACTCAAGAGGCAACTACACAAGAGGCAACTACACAAGAGGCAACTACACAAGAGGCAACTACACTAGAGGCAACTACACAAGAGGCAACTACACAAGAGGCAACTACACAAGAGGCAACTACACAAGAGGCAACTACACTAGAGGCAACTACACAAGAGGCAACTACACAAGAGGCAACTACACAAGAGGCAACTACACAAGAGGCAACTACACTAGAGGCAACTACACAAGAGGCAACTACACAAGAGGCAACTACACAAGAGGCAACTACACTAGAGGCAACTACACAAGAGGCAACTACACAAGAGGCAACTACACAAGAGGCAACTACACAAGAGGCAACTACACTAGAGGCAACTACACAAGAGGCAACTACACAAGAAGCAACTACACAAGAGGCAACTACACTAGAGGCAACTACACAAGAGGCAACTACACAAGAGGCAACTACACAAGAGGCAACTACACAAGAGGCAACTACACAAGAGCCAACTACACTAGAGGCAACTACACAAGAGGCAACTACACAAGAGCCAACTACACAAGAGCCAACTACACTAGAGGCAACTACACTAGAGGCAACTACACTAGAGGCAACTACACAAGAGGCAACTACACAAGAGCCAACTACACTAGAGGCAACTACACTAGAGGCAACTACACTAGAGGCAACTACACAAGAGGCAACTGCACAAGAGCCAACTACACTAGAGGCAACTACACAAGAGGCAACTACACAAGAGGCAACTACACTAGAGGCAACTACACAAGAGGCAACTACACAAGAGGCAACTACACAAGAGGCAACTACACAAGAGACAACTACACAAGAGACAACTACACAAGAGACAAGTACTCAAGAGGCAACTACACAAGAGACAACTACACAAGAGGCAACTACACAAGAGGCAACTACACAAGAGCCAACTACACTAGAGGCAACTACACAAGAGACAACTACACAAGAGCCAACTACACAAGAGGCAACTACACAAGAGGCAACTACACAAGAGCCAACTACACAAGAGGCAACTACACAAGAGGCAACTACACTAGAGGCAACTACACAAGAGCCAACTACACAAGAGCCAACTACACAAGAGGCATCTCCTGTGTTAACAATAAATTAGTCGCTAATATATACGTGTGTCCTGCTCTTGAAACAACCAGCGAGGACATGTGTCTTATTGTGCCCCGTGTTTGGTCTGTCGGCCTCGCTGTCTGTCTGTCTGTCTGTGGCTGAGTGATTGATTCTTTATCATGCGCCCTATACCCATCCCGTGGGCGGTGGAGGGAAGGGTTACAGAGGCACATAATAGGTTCAGGCACTAAACCCCAGACTGTACTTCATTTAACTAAGCAAGTAACACTCTTTTGAAGCTAGTTACACAATTATTAATGTTATATGAGGTATATATACAACCAGGTATATACCCACATGTACATATACAATATACACAATCATTTACACAAATACATATACACATCGATAATCTTTTTTATATCACAAGTGATTCAACAAAAGGGTCACAACAGTCACTATACAAGGAACTTTACATCTATGGTGAATCACACAGTTACTAGTCTTGCTGCACACCCACCCAACTGGGCGGCAGCTTTACAGTCATGTGCTCCACACCCACCCAACTGGGCGGCAGCTTTACAGTCATGTGCTCCACACCCACCCAACTGGGCGGCAGCTTTACAGTCATGTGCTGGGCGGAAGCTTTACAGTCATGTGCTCCACACCCACCCAACTGGGCGGCAGCTTTACAGTCATGTGCTCCACACCCACCCAACTGGGCGGCAGCTTTACAGTCATGTGCAGGCTGCACCTACAGTCAGCAAATTTTGGATACTTCGCTAAGACTCCCGGCAATACATAATTATAAATGAAGTACTTACACATTTCTTGGACACTATTGATGGTGTCCACTATTGATCCCTGAATTCCGCGATTTTTTTCACATTCCATTATATAATGAGGCAAAGTATGCAAATAGTTGTGGTGACAAGCGTTTACATTTAATCAAATCTACATCAGCAGATGTTACAAACTGCCAGAGGTACTTGTAGCCGAGCCTAAGCCTAGTAGTGGTGACATCTAGAAGTCTGCTAACCTTATTGGATGACCCATAGACGTGCGGTACTTCCTGCACAATAGAATGGTGATAGATGGAGCAACTGGCGTGAATTTCACTTTGCCTCAAGTCTACGAAATTTAGTTGATGTTCCTGGGATATTGCTGCCCTCAGGCTGCTCAAAGGCAGTCCAAGATGGTAATCAATTCCCTCTTCACGAGTAAAAGTCTTGGCCAACTCATCAGTTCTATCGTGCATTCGGAGACCAATATGGGAAGGAATCCACAGGAGACAAACTCTGACTCCATCATTGATTAGTTCATTATATCTGTGTCTAGCTTCAGAGATAAGCACGTCACAGTTATGCCTTAGGGAGCTGAGGGCAGTCAAGGATGACAAGGAGTCACTTACAATTAGCGTGTCAACTTTGGATTCATGTACGCGCTCGAGTGCGAGGATTATGACAACCAATTCTGTTTGAAGAGTGGAGGCCCAGTTACTGAGACGCGCTCCACACTCATGGGGGAAGGAACCATCTCTCCCTGTCACAACAACTGCACTTCCAGCTGCACCATAGGACTGATGCAAGGACCCATCAGTGTACATAATCTGGGAAAGGGAGCGCTCTCTGACTAAAGCATCAATTTGGCTTAAGGCATTGTACTTTGTTTCTTGGGTACTTTGTGTCTGGGTGACTGACAGCTGGGTGGACTGCGGTTCGGATTCGTAGTCCTGAAGTCCCGGGTTAGATCCCCGGTGAAGGCGGAGACAAATGGGCAAAATGTCTCTTTTATCCTGATGCCCCTGTTACCTAGCAGCAAATGGGTACCTGGGAGTTAGACAGCTGCTACGGGCTGCTTCCTGGGGGTGGAGGCCTGGTCGAGGACCGGGCCGCGGGCACACTAAGCCCCGAAATCATCTCAAGATAACCTCAAGATTGTCGAAGCAAGGCTTGGGCTTTAATCAGCTTCTTGAGGTGGGAAAGATGGGACAGTAATTGGGAAAGGAGTGATCTCCCATGGGGCAGGAAAGTGTTCTTGTTGTCTCTCTTGGTAGAGGTGAGGAATATTATACATTCTGCCCGAAACGCTGCGCGTACTAGTGGCTTTACAAGATTGTAATTACTATGCTATGTATCCTCACAATCCCAATGTACCTTCTTGTATATATATAAATAAATAAATAAATAAATAAATAAATAAATATATTCTGAGCACAGTGGCAGTTTTGGTAATCCATTTGGAGGGATGCTGACCTTCAAGGAAGAGGGCTTCAGTGCAGGGGTTAGGGTGGGTTAGCCTAAGCATCTTGATACCAATTAAAGCATTAATGTCAGTGATACGATCACTTACACATGAAATATTCAGTTCCTTCCTCATGTTTAGTAATTTAGTTGTACGGGGGCATCCGAGGATAATCCTCATGGCTTCGTTTAGCATCTTTTCCCGCCCTTCAAGCATTCTCTCAGGCACTAGAGCAAACATGGGGTGCAGCATAATCAATCAGAGACTTAATATATGAGAGATACATCATTTTGACAAGTCTCACATTTGCACCATAGCTTGGATGGCAGCCTGCCCCAGCCTTGAGAGCACGGGGCCTCTCCTCTCTACATTGGCGACACAGTCTGGCTACAACATTACGGTACAGTGGAACCTCAAGACCAAGGTATTTGTATCTGGTTACTTAGTCGAGCAGAGAGCCATCATGCAACTGTATCTTGCGAATGGTCCCACCCCCGTCTGGGTGGGTGACGGTCCCACCCCGTCTGGGTGGGCGTTGGTTCAGGAGCTTTCAGAGTTCAGAACATTTTGGGTGTTGATATACCCATTGGTGTGGATCAGTATATCATCCGCATAGCTAATGATGTGTTCGCTTCACACCATTAGCTCCTAGTTCCTAGTTACTGTGTTTAGAAGTGCATTGATTAACACATTGAACAGAGTAGGACTGAGAACACCTCCCTGTGGAGTGCCCAGTTCAAAATCACTCGTTACACTCCTGTGCCCTTGGTTAGGTTTAGGAACGGGAATAATAAGATTGTTGTTGGTCCATAACTTCGGAAGCTTGCCGGTGACATAGCTCATATTATACAATTGAAGCAAGGGATTCCCTGGAACTAGCAGGAGCGAATGCAGTATGCCGTAAGTAACTCCATCCTCCCCGGGTGATGTAGCTCTAACTTTATGTAGAGCAGAGTCAAGTTCGTATTCAGTAAAAAGCATGTCACAGTCATCCTCTTGATGAAGCATGAAGTCAAGGAGCCTTGCTCTATCAGCATATTTATTATTTATTTCAATCTGTGAGGGTAGAGGAAGACTGTCAAAGCTGGAAGTGGTGGCCCAAGCATCAACAAGCTCATTTGCTCTGTACAGAGGATGAGGGTGCGAGATCTCTGCAACATTTTGCCCTTTGATCTTGTTGATATCATTCCATGATAGGCTTAGTGGCGTGTGAGAGTTGAGACCACTGATAAGTTTCCCAGTCTGTCTGTCTGAGCTCTACCATACGTTCCCTGGCCCCAGCCAGAGCCGTCTTGTGTGTGTGTGTGTGTGTCTGTGGTGGGTCTTGTGTGTGTGTCTGTGGTGGGTCTTGTGTGTGTGTCTGTGGAGCGCTCACGACAACACTCGTGTCACAGGCGCCTTTTAACTCACTTATTGTTGTGTAGTTATCTCTTGTTGAGCTTTATAATGAGTTCAAATTGCATATGAGGGTCAGAGGTCAGCGTAAGGGGTCAGAGGTCACAGGGTCAGAGTACCAGTTCAGGGTCACGGGAGGGGTGTGTGTCAGGGCTGGGTGTGGCCTGGTTTTGTACTCGCTGACTTAATATATCACAACAGCTGGGTGGCTGCACTTACAACGCACGCACGCACGCACGCGCACTCACATGCAAACGCACAAAATGGGCAACAAGGCTCGTTCCTGAGCTAAGGGGCATGAGCTCTGAAGACTGCGGGAGTTAGACCTCACTACGCTAGAGGAAAGCATGAATAGGGCAGATATGATAACGACATATAAGATACTACGGGAGATTGGCAATGTCTATATATAAACAATGTTCACATAATGGAACAGAAGAAGGTGAGGACAATTGGAAGCTGGAAACACTGAGATGTTAGAAAGAACTTTTACAGTGTAAGAGTCGTAAATAAGTGGAATTAACGGACTAGATGAGCAAGTTAGTGAACTAAGTCAACACACAGTTTTAAATGTAAATATGATAAGAAAATCGAGTGAAGAATCACTGCTTTGAATTAAAGGTCGAAAGACGGAGCTTAAGAGCAGATGTTCGACCTTGCAAGCACGACTAGGGGAGTACAACTAGGTGAGTACACAGAGTACCCCCATAAGAGTCTGGGGCCAGATTCACGAAGCAGTTACGCAAGCACTTGCGAACGTGTACATCTTTTCTCAATCTTTGGTGGCTTTGTTTACAATTATTAAACAGTTTACAAGCATGAAAACTTGCCAATCAACTGTTGTTATTGTTATAAACAGCCTCCTGGTGCTTCGGAGCTCATTAACTGTCTAATAATTGTAAACAAAGCCGCCAAAGATTAAGAAAAGATATTCACGTTCGTAAGAACTTGCGTAACTGCTTCGTGAATCTAGGCCCAGTTTCTGATATATATAAACGATCTTCCAGAGGGTATAGACTCATTTCAGTGTTTGCTGATGATACTAAAAATATGAGGAGGATTAAGACGGAGGACGACAGCCAGAGGCTACAAGATGATCTGGACAAATTGAAGGAATGGTCCAATAAATGGCTACTAGTGTTTAACTGATGTAAATCAGAAATAAAAGACAAGACATCACTCAAAATAATCAAATTACGGCAGACTAAAAAATAATAAAGTCTACCTGAAGCACGAGTAAAGGGTAAACTAATACATTGATAAAGTTTACACAGTATACAAGTGTTCAGTTGAAGCATTAGTATTCCAGAGAGGCCGCAGCTCTCTGCTATATTGACTCCATTATACGTGAATCAGACACAGTAGAATAACGACGTACTGGAGCGAAATATATGGAAAGAAATGCAGAAT